ACCGGCGGCCACGGCTACGAGGTGCTGGACGCGGCCGGGTGAGCTGGGGGCCGGGCCGGGATGGCAGCGCCGAGGCTGGAATCCGGGGTTGACACTGAGCTTCCATCTCCTGCCCGCCAGCTCCTTTGACAACAGCAATCTCTGCTCCGGCGGCGGGGACAAGGCGGTGGTGCTGTGGGATGTGGCATCCGGGCAGGTCGTGCGCAAATTTCGGGGCCACGCAGGGGTGAGTGCAAACCTGGAGGCCCTCGTTAGAACCTGAATGGTCGAGGGGACCCATAGCACGTAGGTGCTGGCAGGGCTTAGCTCGCACTCTACTTGCTTTCACTCCCAACCCCTAGCCTTAACTTCAGCCTGCACTGGGAGCCCTGCTTTTATTCCAATCCTCCAAAGTCCCATCTCCCCTGAGTGGCAATTTCTGTTTCTCAGAAGGTGAACACGGTGCAGTTTAACGAAGAGGGCACCGTCATCCTTTCCGGTGAGTCTGGGGCCTTGGGGGAGCTGGGGGGACCAGGGTGCTGCCTCTGCCCCGCCCCAACACACACACCTGACTCGACCTGACCTTCGTGCTGGCCTCACAGGCTCTATTGATTCTAGCATCCGTTGCTGGGACTGCAGATCTCGGAAGCCTGAGCCAGTGCAGACGCTGGACGAGGCTCGGGACGGCATATCCAGCGTGAAGGTGTCAGACCACGAGGTCTTGGCAGGGTGAGTGGAGCCAGGCCTTTGCCTCTCCCTGGGTGCTACTGAAGATAACTCACTGAGTGCTTAAGGTTTGGATCTATTCCCTTTGTCACCACTTACAAGTGGGGGGTGGTCCTGGACCCAGTTCCCCTTGGATATATCAGAAGAGCTCCCTCTAACGGTCGTGGGGGGAGACGGTGGTGCTGGCCAGTGCAGGGAGGAGTCCACTCGCTACTGGAGGTGAGAGCAGGTGGCAGGATTCTGAGAGCCGTGGGGAAAAGAGCTGGAGCGTGCAGGGTGGGTGTGGGGGTCAAGAAGTGCTCGAAGGCTTTGAGAAGGGGTCTGTGGAGCTTAGAAACCGTTAGAGCCCAATTGGCCTCTGCCTCGGAGCCTGTGTCCCAGAATCCTACTTGGGTGCACGGAGCCCTGCCGGGTGGGAGTCCCCTAGAGGGTGGGAGTCCCCTACCGGCCCCCAGGCAACCTGGAGCCCTGGAGACTCAAGGCTTCTGCTGGATCGGCCCTTTCCTGCAGCTCCGTGGACGGCCGCGTGAGGCGCTATGACCTGAGGATGGGGCAGCTCTTCTCAGACTACGTGGGCAGTGAGTGTGGCCGGGCTAGGGGGCAGGCTGGGAGGGTGAGGGGCAGTTGGGAAAACCCAGCCTCACTCACCTGCCTGCCCCTCTCTTCAGGCCCCATCACCTGCACCTGTTTCAGCCGGGATGGGCAGTGCACCCTGGTGTCCAGCCTGGACTCCACACTGCGGCTTCTAGACAAAGACACGGGAGAGCTGCTGGGAGAGTGAGTCCTTGCCATAGAGGCCCCGCCCCGCCTGGGACCCCGCCCTCCAGTGGCCACGCCCCCACCCCGACCACCCCCCTAACCCTCCAC